TAAAGATATATTTAACCCACATATGTATGTCAGCCATTACATATGAACTCGTCATATTGTTTAAACGTTGCTTATTCATAAGATTTCCTCGAGAAGAATGAATAAGTTATTCTTAGCGATTGATCTTTGTAAACAGATATTCACATTTTATCATTTATAGTATCAAATCTTAAAAAGACAGACAGATACAAGACGATTAGTGGTGACTGCGCTTTTGAAAGCAAAAGATCGTACGTGTTATTCAGTGACAGCACAGTATAAATAAGAACAAGTAGGACAACTCCGCCTGTTGGGTACGTCGGCCTACATTTAGCTCCTACGCTCCGAGCTATTGCATTATTGTTTTGGCGGCAGAAATAGGTAAGGTGGCAGTACTTCCTTGGACAAACTCTTTGACAAGGAGCTCTACTGGCACTAAATTACAAACATCGCGGTTTTGGTATCTTGATCATCAAGTATGATCACGAAATAAAATGCTGATCAATGAAGAAACCCGAAGCCAAAGGCTTGAGGACTTTAATGACTTGTGATTTGTAATTTTTACCGCACGTGCTACATAAAATGTTTTACATCACATTTGCAAGGAAATAGATACGACAATTTATTTGTTGTATAAATAAATATCTCTTTACAACACCACATTTACTGATTTTGCAAATGCGTATTTTTTTTAACAAATTGCCAGCTATTCTTTCATAGATATTGCATTTCGAACTAAAATGTTATAAATTTCTTTCCAAATTATGAAAATACTGCAGAATTTGAATTCATCATTAGTAAAATATAGTTCAATTGCAAATGTTTAGTTTTTTTAAATATAAATTTTTCGAGCATAAAAACTTTTTGCTTAATATGATCTAATAAACCATATGTAATGAAAAAGCCCGTGGGCAACATTTATGACATTACGGTCGACTTTGCCTGCAGGCCAAGACACTGTTTACGAGCAAGAGTGATGAAAATAAATATGTTAGATACGTCAGCTAGCCAGGGCAGGGACGAAATGTCAACGACACAGATAAACGTATGGATTACGCGTGCGTTATTGACGTGTCTGTACGAAGTTGTACAACTGTACATTTTTAAAGTGTGTCATCCGTACTGCGATACGGTTGGTATGTAGGTCAGAACGGAGGCTCGCCATAATCACTTTGGCAAACACCGTGTCTGCCCAATTTACATAGGCGGTGTTATCGTGAAAGGCGTCTTAATATGTTTTTTTTAACGCATTTACAAAATCGCATTTTTAAAGTTGTACACGCCCAGATACGCGCTGTTTCTAATTACATCCGTCGTATATCCGACTGCCGGGCAAGGGTCTCATTCCGGGTTGAAAATTATACGGATTTCCCAAGAATTTTGAACTGTGAACTTGGGAGACTTGTTTGAATTGTGAGCTTTTTTCGGCATGTTGGTTTCATACAATGTTTCACCGTCACGAGAGGAATTGCTACTCAGGTTCAGTTTACATTGCCGAAGTACTAAATGGAAGAGAATTTAGTAACGAAATTGTACATAGCATAATGAGCTTTACGCCCATTGTGTAACGTACAAACTAAAGACGGTAGCTACGAGAATCCTCGAGACTGTGCGAGAATCTTCCGGTAGACGCGCGACCTGTTTTTTTTTATTTTAGCCTAAACAATCACAATGTCAGTCGTCACAATACAAGAGGCACCTTTTGACAGTTTTCATCGCAACGTAAATAGGGATGCGAACTAAACATATCGGGTACCATATTTATTAAACGATTCTCACGAGAAATCGGTTTGGAAATTTCATGATCGTTTAGATTTAGATAATTTTTTGGGTCATTGGAACAATTAACATTAATTTCAGTAATATTGACTTTAATATAAATAAGTAAGTATTTAAAATGATCATAATCACAGTCTGCAGTTGTTATTGTAATTCGTGCGAAAATATTACTTGAAATATGTTCTATCACATTATTTAATGCTTCACTAAAATTAATGTATTTTTTTAAACCCAATAATTTATCAAATGTTTGTTAACTGTTTCGTAGATTTCATGCAGTTACATACTATCGTCTTCCATTACACAACTGTCAAATTGGGCCTCTTACATTGTGATAACTAAAATTATTATATAATAATCTGAACCAGAAGGCCCCGTTCACTTACACACCGAGCTTTGCGAATCCAATTAAAAAATTAAAAATTTGTAATTGTAAAACGTTTCGATGTCCGTCAAAAAAAAAACACGAAATCCTATTGTAAATGTATAAATTGTATAAAGTAAATGTATGAGTTTTAAGTTCAATTTTGCACGCGCTGAAGCACATGTATAGGTTACCTCTCTCGGTTTCTGTTTAATATATAGTAGAAAGTCTAATACGCAATTAATTGACTGTACAGTCGTTATAATGAAGCTTATCGTATGTCCGGCCGGTGTGAGCGGGCCGGGAGTCGTAGGTTGAGGGGATCACCAGATAAATAGAGTAAATAATAAGTTTTAATAATTTATTGATAGGACGGGATGTTACAAGATCAATAGATGACGTAAATACAATGTTATAATAATAGTTTAAAGAAAACAAAATATTAGACGCTTTTTGTTAGGCAGGGCCAACAACAAGCATAGATCCACACAATCACGCAAGCTCGCACGTAAATTTAAAAACTGGTGGAAAAGAAGACATATCATTCATTATTCGTAATAATTTCATTATCTTTCCTTTCTTTGGCTCCCTTTGTCATATAAGACATATATTATAAGTCCGTCTCAAGTACCGAATTTACCTAATGTAATCCAAAACAGAAACGACTTCTCGGATTAGCGAATAACTGAATTACTACATTGCGCTATACCTACTATAATTTTTGCATGGTAGCCTAGTGTGAAAAAGGTTGTTTCTCAATAGAGAGGTCGACAGTTCGGATCCCTGTGGAGCGAGACTGGAATTAACCCGTTCACGGACAAAACAACTGAGGTTATTTTAGTGAAGGCCACACCCATCATCGATCGAGAGAGATCGATAGAGAGGAGGTATCGAAATATACCTCATCTCTACCCTGTGAACATTATGCTAAGCTAATTTTTGAATGCAAACAGTCTTCATTTTCTATACTAATATTATGCTCCCCGAATTTTGTGGAAAAAAAGGAACAAAAAAAAACAACATTCGAAAAAACAACAAAAATACGAATATTGCGAAAAAAATAAAGAAACAAAAAACAAAATAAAAACAGACATGTTCAAAAAAATTGTTGGCGTAGTGGTATCGATTTGTGCACCAGATCAAGATACTTTCGACGTTTTTCGGTTATTAAATATATCATCGCAGCCCATAGGCCGACGATTCCCAAATTGGTCTATATATCTCTGTCAGCGAAAAATGATTGGCGGTGCATAAAACGTTATAATATAAAAAAACTATATAACTTGAACTTAATTAAAATCATAACTGAATTTTAAACAGGACGTAAACCACGCTCCTGAGAATCTATTCGAAATATCGCTTACGCCTTTTCTACAAAGCATCGACGATATTATATACGTAGTCGTTAATACTAGTAGTATATTTCAGTAATATCAGCATTACTTTCCGTTCCAGTTTCGAAAAGGTGCTGGTGAGGCTTATAGGACTTGTCAACTTACGTCTCAGGGTGACGGTGTCGCAGTGCCCCTATGATCTTTGCGATTTAATACTCTTGAGTGACACTGCAGCTCTTATGGACAAGCGTGTCGCTTACCACTTGGTACTAAAAAAAAGGCTCTAACTTAGTAACCGGTAATGGACGGAAAAGTTTTGCATAGCAGTATTAGCTGCGTAACTTCTACTTTTAACTCTAGGTGTAAACTCCCTATTTGTTTAAATAATTCGAACGTTGAAGTAACAAAATTCTGCGCTCGAGCGTGATCTCAGCAAAACAAACACAAATATATTTATTAGAAGAATTTTTGGCGTGCTTATTATATAAATATTACACAGGCGCGTGTTTATTTCATACAGTTACGGCGTCACCAAAATTTGCTCATTCAAAAGCCGTACTGGTTGGGTTGTGACGTAGGCGAACGTCTCGGTGTTAACAAAAACATATTGCGTGGCTGTTACTTAGTGGTAGATAAATGTTATTTTGTTTAAACAGTTGTAGTCTGTCATGTAGTTGTTGTCGACAGTTTTATCGATAGATTGTGAAAGAAGGTAATTTTTTTCCAAAAATGTCTGAACTACGAATGATACGACGGTAGCCTTCTTTATCTTATTTTGACAGCTGGCCGACTAGTATCAAAATCTATTTTTATTCATATATAGATACATTTTAATAAAGACTAACGGGTTTGATTACATGCAATATTGAATTAAAATGTACTCTAAAATATATATATCCTCTTGCTTTAAAAATATTAATAGACATAGTTCTAAATGTAGTGTAAGTAAATGAACCAGTGTCGAGAAGCTGGACTAATAATGGGCCGATGGTGATTCAAATGAAACAAGGTCGACTATTTATTACCAAATCATAACCAACATTCAGTCGATAGTCGATAGAATATTTATCGATTGCAATCTCTAGCTGCTTGCAACCGGGTAACACTTTTGCGCAATAAACTGTTATTTTACTCCACCTTCAAAAAGACAGACTATATCTTAAATCATTTTAGTTCGAGTTGTATTATCTATGGAAGAATAGCTAGCAATCTGTTTAAGATAAAAAACAAATAAGTGAATGTTGTGTTGTGAAGCGATATTTATTCATAAATGTGATGAGAAACAATGTATGTAGCACGGGCGGTAAAAATTACAAACCTCGAGTCATTAAAGCCCTCAGCCTTTGGCTTCGGGCTTCTAACAAACTCTCGTGAGTGATTTCTTATGTGCCGCCCTTACTAATACCGATAGAAAGAGACAATCAGAAGCATCAATTTCTTTCTTCTAAATAACATAGCATACTAAATTTAATGAACTATTTCAACATCATCTATGAAATATTGGCGTCATCGTAACAGTGTTGATGCTAGCAAACAGCACATACCTGATAGGTGTTCCACTGCTGCAGCAGGTGGTGGTAGCAGGCGGCGCAAGCGCGCACGGTGCCTTGCGCGTCTTTGGGTCTAGACCGCGGCGGCCGCGGATGCTGCTCGCCAAAACACAGGAAGTACGCTTGTTTGCTCTGCAAATGGGAAAAAAATAACATAACATTGTTTATTTATGTCACAAATGTATTTTTTACTCCTGTACTATAATCTGTCAATTATAATTTCACAAACCCAATCAAAAGGCGCTCTTTTTAAATCTGAATAAAACTTCTATTGTCTGTGGCACTCGCCACTGAGCTGAAAAATTTCATTATAGTACTGTACACAGGACTATAATGACTTTCAAAAAAAAGAACGCTACTCAAACGCTATACTGCCTCTGATTAGTTAAATTGGCCTAAAAGTCTAGCCACCGGGCCATAAATTTTTATTATTTATTAAAAAAATAATATCTAGTTTTAGACGTCTTCTAGGTTACCGTGCCAGACACTATACCAACTAAGACACGGAACGAATTAGCGGACCTCACGAATTTTTCTATTTACTTGTTGTCGGATCTTTTGTATTTGGTTTTCAACACTTTTTTGTCGTAGCGCCGTCTATGAGAAATCTATGAAAGTTTTATCATCCAGTTAGATATCTTTACAGTTACCAGCTCTGGCGAGAGATGTGTTGGTATAGCGTCTGGCACGGTAAGCTAGAAGACGTCGGTTCGAATCCGGCCGGATCGAAGGAGTTTTTTCTGAGTGTTCGATCTTTGTATTAATAATTATAACAAACTAGTGGAGTCATTTCACAAAAAATAATTGAATATCAATTCAATAAAAATTTTAAATACAGTGAATAGCGACATGTCTCGCCAGGGCTGGTAACTGTAAAGATATCTAACTGGGTGATAAAACTTTCATAGATTTCTCGAGTTTTAACATATCTGAACATAACGAAACGAGATCTACAAACCTCCAAAAGCAGTCTTTTTAAATTTCTTATTTAGCTTTAGTTTTATTGTTAAACAAAATCAGCGTAATTGACATTTTTCAAAGAATAAATGTTTTGTTTGAAAAGAAAAAACAAATATACGCCATTTTATCCGGAAAAATAGTTTCATTTTCTATGTGTCACAATCGTGAAAACCTAAGAACTCGATAATATAGAAATAGTTTAAGGGCCAATATTTCGAAAATCACCGAAATGGAAAAGCGTTGTTTATAATAAGATGGGCAAATTGGGCGTTTAGCGTTACTCTCACTGTAATTAGCTGGGCCTTAGAAAGTTAATGTTATATTTATTATTTATTTTTTTAATACTCCCGCATTAGGGAAACCCTGTATCGCGCGTGCCAGTGACACGCAAATTACACCCAAACTCATGAGAGAAATAAATGTAGGCCATGCAAATATTTCTCCCGGCCAGTGAATCAAACCCGAGACTTGTGCGTGGCAGTCCAGCATGATAAAAGTTCGACCACGGAGGTATATTATTATTTCCTTAACGGCGGCCAGTAGGTTTGGCCCAGTATTAGTTTCCATATACGTTGTCGTAATGTTTTCATAATCACCATAACGTCACAAACCAAAACTCAAGAATAACAAAAATAGCTAAATCAGACACGCCCCCGGCATTGACCAACAACTTAACATAACATTTCGCAAGTTCAAAATGTCACGTTTTTATGATAAACCAAATAACGACTGTCAATATCTGTTAAACGTATTTACACCACACCAGTGCGACAAACTTATCTGTGTTACGGCCAAAAATGGTACTAACGATGCTACGTTGTAAAACGTCAAACCTAGTGTCAAGTGCTATTGTTAGCGGCAAGCACGTATATAGACGGTAGCGACACCTCTAATGTAGCGGATAAATTTATGGCACCGTAAACATGATGCTGTAATATTTGCTCGCTAATTAAATCGCGATGTTGTGTGGCATGTTTGTATCAGGGTTGTTGCTGATGCCGATTATTTGACCTTAACATCAGAACGTTGATGCTTTCTATTTTCTTTGGTATTGTAATAAAATATTATTTCAATGATTGAAAAGAATCAATCTTCATGAAAACAACCAATCTGCCTCGCTGTTGTGGAATACAACAGCCGAGCTGCTTTTAGGTTTACAGTTCGTTTCTGGAAGGTTTGTAAATTATTTCAGCGTGCCTTTGAGGTCATGTCCCGACTCGAAACATACGTAATGAATATCAGCATCGGAAGCTGATGCAGATGCGGATATTTTAATTCGCAACAACCCTATTTTTATGCCTGATATTTGACCGGGCGCAATGAAAGTATACTTATTTAGGCACTATCATCTTCTATACAACCTGTCTTTCTGTTATTGATACATATTGAACAAACACAGAAAAACCTTATTTCAATACGGCCTGGACTCAAACCTGTGAATTATCGATCCGTAGTTCAGTTATAGTGTCATCTATAGTCAGTGGTGTGACGATGTGACCTCCTTCCATCGTTATCCCACCATTTTGTCACCTTTTCTCTGGTTCCTGGCCACTTGTTTTCAAATTTTGAATCGTTCTTTAATTCTTTTGCACCGCCATTCCCCTTTTTGTTTCGTTTCGTCGTCACTAGCGACGTTCGCGGTAGCGAGCAATTCAACTGTAATTCTTAACTGCGTCTAATTTTGACCTGTTTACCAGTTCTGAACCTAATACATGTGCCAATTTTAATGTTAATACTAATCTGTAATTCAGCATAACTCGACCCTTCCTTTCTTTTCCTTCAAACTGTTGAATAAATTTTTGTGGACCAAAGTAAAAGTTGTTGCCGTGAATCCGGTGACGATACATTAGTGGCTTACAACCTGTTCAGTGGTAACGACGTTGGAGCGGCAAACGTTGGTTAGGGTTCAATGGGATCGAAGTATTTTTTTTATTTGTTCGAACTTTGTATGAATAATAATTAGCGTGTTTTTTTGTTAATTTTTGTTTACGTGTGCAATGGTATTGTATTTCTCGCAATATTTAAGTAGATCTTTTAATTGGATCGTTGTGTAGTTAGAGTAGACGGAATTGCCTATGCACGTTTACTTGGTCCGATTGAGTTTCCATACAAATGTATGCCTGCCATTGTTTTTTATAAAGAGAAGATTTAGGCAATAGTCCGCCATGCTGCCCCAACGTGGGTTGTGGGCTTCACGATGTCTTGTTTCACCGTTAGTACTGGACAACTGAATAGCTGAAGGAGCTATTCAGATGACCGGATGACGAACGGTGACAAAACACGCCGATCGGTGACGGCTAGCAGTGTCGATGAGTGATCGCTTAGACGGCCGATAGACTTAATGCTTTAAATGTAGTGAAATGTGATTGGCGCAAAAGTGACCCCGCGTTGATAAGTCGTCGTCTTGGAGTGAATATCTCGTGTGTGATTTCTATATAATTTTCAGGGCGAAGATAAGAATGTGGTGTAAAATGTAGTAAACGCAACAATGTTTGCATTTTAATTAGTTAAATTATACCTCTTTCGGATATCAGTTTTTCTTAGGTTTATAAGTTTTTGTCCCAACAAAAATCAGTAAAAACCAATTATGTGAAAATGCGTATGAGAGGTTTTGAATAAAATAGACTAGAATCATTTATTTCATATTATCAATGTCACAATATTACAATTAAAAATACAATGTCAAGGGACAATATGATCATCACTAACGCAAACAATAATCCTGAATATAAAATAAAGCAGTATATCTACTGCTTGTCTAAATACAAGGAAGTCAAGTAAAACAAAATTATAATTGTTTTAAAAGAAACTTATCGACACTGTAGAATTCATTATAAAAGGAGTTTTAGTCGGGTATTAGACGTTTCGTCGTTTGCAACACTTTTCAGGTTTGTGGGTAGATGTTCGTAGAAACGGGGATCTATTACCCGCGGAATTCCCGTTGCGAGTTCCCGCGTTTCGCAACGGTCGGCCGCATGAGATTGAAATTAAATTCTGAGCGCCTAAAGCGAATTGCCTAATGTAACGTGTCTAATAATAATGTAAAATATGTTCAAAATAATATTTTTCACACCACTCTAATTGGCCTTGACTCTGGTGGGTCTGGTATCGACCTGCGGCCACGGAACTCTGTATTTATGTAGCTGAATGTTAACTGGAGAACAAATGTTACGCTTTGCGTTTCGTATCCTGTTTTCATAATGTTGATAATAGCTGAATCTAACAAATTCTGCAAAGCGTATCAATTCCTCTTCAATTCCACTTGGTTTAAGCGATCAGTAAGTATCATATTATTTTATTTATTCAATTCAAATCACATAACCTACATAACATATACCTTGAGGACTAACATACATACAATGTAATACTAAATAACAAAGTTACAGCTACGATACGAGACCCTTCGGCCAAAGTCCTTCATGAAGGTCGAGAGATGTTCGGTTGGCACTCTCACCACAAACGAATTAAAATTCACGTTGTGGCGGGACTCCAACCGCTCGACCCTCAGGGTGTATTGGGCTTTCCACTATCTCTTCAGGCTTTGTGGAGTAACGCAGTCCGCGACAGGTATATGCGTCGTCGGCGGTATGGCCGGAGGCAACAGAAAATTCGATGCTGTTGGTGCTGTGATACCCATGCTACGGCTGGTGGGATTCCTCTCTTCTTCTTCACCTTTGTGAAGCCCTTTTTCTCCACTTTTGTTTTATTACAATTGGAAGGGTCAACTCATTTAACTGACTTTTCGTACCCACTCCTCTTCTGTCTCTATTGCTCTATATACAACAAGGTTCTTTGCAAAATAGCAACAACCTCGCCAGGACTATATTATTAACATCCTAAACAACAACTTTTGTTCCATGAGTTTTAAGGACGACAACTCGCGGGCCCGTGCGCCCGACTCGCGCCCGCGCGTAGAGTGTTATCGTCATTATAAATACACGGAATTATGGACTCGTTGTGCTCCCGACCCGACACGCGCCCGACCCGCACGCTACCCGACCCCCACCCGCTCACTGTGCGTTTCACGCTTAAAAACAAAATATATTTAAATAGATCGC